AAAACATGAATTACAACTACAAATGAGGATGAAACTGGACTTCCCCATCTTTGTGGTAATACACTAAAGTTGCTTTGGAAAGAGAAACATGTTATCCATACACAGTAACTCAACTGTTTAATATAAGTAAAGCTTTCCTTACTAAGATTTATTAGATCTAGGTTTTTTTTTATAACTTCTGTAACTTCCTCAATGCCTAGCACACTGCTTTCTATAGATATAGGAAGAGACAGTAGCTTTACTCTTAAAAAGACCAACACTTTGGTTGCTCAAGAAAGGTACTCCGTAAATTTTGGTAGAAAGAAAGAAGGGACTGAGGAAAGATTAGATAAAGATACTGCTGGATGAACACAAATATACATTTGGCACAGCTGAATCTAGTCCTCAAACATTTACCCAACTACTAAGGGTTTTAATTACTATTGTTGCTGTTGTTAAGTGCTGTCCAACTAGTTTCTACTCATGGCGACTCCATTTCCATGGTTTCTAAGCAGTGGCTGGTGGGTTTTTCAACTGCCAACCTTGGGTTTGGCAGCCCAGTGCTTCTCCTACAGTGCCATGCCACCTCACACATATTCTATGAGGGGAATCATTTGGATGCTTCTTTTAAAATGTCGAAGTGTTAGGAAAAGTAATAAAACTTGAAAGGAACTACAAAGACAGAACATTATTTGATTATGTCTTATGGTCTGAAGAAGCACAACAATTTATTAGAAATACTCTAAACTCAAACTAAGCCAGAAGTAAAATGTTTGACTACTAATTATACGAAAATGCATTGCTAATTACTGATTTTTATCATAGCATGAAAAAAAGAAGGAAATCAAAACTTACTTAACAACTTTATTTCAAGTTTTTCATTATGAGTGAATGAAAGGTAAGTGCCTTTGAAAGTACAGTTTCATAGTAGAAATAAGAATATGAGAAAATATTTATGAAAAGGAAAATGGCCTTTTTTATAAAAGGATTGTTTTATTAAAGCAGATGACAGGCTATTAGGATATGAAAAACTTACACAAAAACTTTACAATTTTAACTCTCATTATAATAGCTAGATGTAACAATCAGACTGGTTTCTTAGTTTTATGTTTGGTAGCAATTAGTATTGCTGATCTGTCAACACTTTCCCCTGAATTCTTTATATTCTGACAATCTTTAAATCTTACAATTCAAACATCAGAAACATAACAAAACAAGTTTTGTTTTGTTTCTTAGGAAAAGTCAGAATTGACTCAAAGGGATTGGGTTTGGTTTGAGATTGGTTTAGACAAGTATTAAAATCAAGAACATTATTTAAGCAATATACCAACTATTTTAATATATAAATAAGCATTATGACAGCGCATCGGAAAGGGTAGGAAGCATAAAATAAAAGCAGAGATTTATGATCACAAAAAGGGTAAACATAAAATAAGAGCAGAGACTTATGATCACGGGTAAACATAAAATAAGAGCAGTGATTTATATGACCAATGCCTTAAATAAATGTTACCTATACACTTTGATAAGTTATTTAACACACTAATATAACTTAAGATGAATCTAGCTACTTACGTTCAATTGTTAAGCAGTTTTGTAACTTAAAATTCAGACTAAAACAGTCTATTTTGACTGAAATGCTTCCAAGTAAGAGAAAAATCTTACCATGCCTTGATAAGGTGTTACCAATTTATCCTTCTAAAATAGGAAAAGTCAACCTCAATTTGTTTTTGTGTTCAAAAATTCTAAATGTTATAATTTCTTTTAGCAGCCATGTTTGCATGAAAATTATGACATAACTTTCATATATATGATATATAAAGTTTCTATTTAAGTTTTCATTTAGTAAAAGGTAGTCAGACGGAAGCTATTATATCACTACATTAATTTTAAATGTTCTCAACACTTAAAAATATCAGGGTATTTGTAAGGCAAACAATATTTAATAGGCAACTCAAAACAAATATTCTAATACAATGATACAACTGATACATTAGTTAAAAATCAGGGGAAGGTACAAAAACAAAACATAAAGCCTTGTTAAGATATAAGACAATAAGCAAAATACCATCAAGTCTTTGTACTAATTACTAGAAGACTCTTTTTTATTCTTTCATTATTAAGACAACTAAAACTAACTACCCAAACTAGATGAGTCAGTATTTCATCATTTTCAAATGGTACTAAAACACTGAATGCTGCTGGACTTCTTTTTCAAGGACACAGTGAACACTTACCGAATGTTAACTAGCTTCTTTCTAAGATATAAAACCTAAACTACTGTGGATTCCTAAATCTATTAAAGAAAGCAAGAAGGCATGGGAGGGAGCTCAAAGTCCATAATGAAATATTTAAAATATAAAGATAAAACCTGGTTCCATATATATTTGCCACTATTTCCTCAATAAGTTAGTATCTTCAAATTAAACTTTAAATTATCTTCAGGACAACCCACTAACTTACAGTATTAGTTGGATCTTCTTGTAAAATTCGGTCATATAACTGTATAGCATCATCATATCTATTTAAAAAAGAGAAATATCAAGAATCACTATCTTCGAAATACAGAGATAAACAGAAAATGACTAAAGTGCAGGGTCTGAAATATGTTACTATGTAAAGAATGCATTTACAATGCTATCCAAGTCTCTTCTCTTCTTTGAGAAGTAAATATTTGCTCCAGTCCCAGTCCCATCTTTTAACAGAAAAAGAATCGTGTATAAATTATCTACAGAAAAATTTAACTCCCCAAATACATTCATATAATCTGGCCCAAACAGATGTAAAAATTAGCAACATCAAACATATTTGTAATTCTAGTTATATTTAGAATTGTTGTTGTTGTTTTTGTTGTTAAGTGCCATCACGTCGTTTCCAACCCATAGCGACCCTGTATAGGGTTTCCGAGGAGCAGCTGGTGAGCTCGAACTGCCGACCAAGCAGTTCAAAGGCTTTGCAGTCTGGTGCATTAACCCACAGCACCACACCAGAATTATAGCCCATAATTCTAGATAAAGCTTAATTTCAACAACAAAAATCACAAATGATCTATTAATTCCTTTTTAATAATTATTTATGATCGCTTTTCTTAGTTGAGTTGGAGCAGTTCAATTCTTAAGCACCTACTAACTATGTATACACTTCATAAACTGCTAAAATAAAACAGAATACAAATTTATCAAATTAAAAATAAATAGGACAGCATGAAACTAAGAACCCAAAACTAGCATTATATAATAGTGAATCTCATGTTGTTGTGAAGTGCTGTAGAGCCAGTTCCAAATCATAGCGAACCTGTATAGGGTTTCCAAAGAGCAAATGATGGGTTTAAACCACACCAGTGAATCTCACAAGGAAGGAGATATCTGAAATTGCATAAAGAATTGATCTATTTCCTCTTATATATGACATCATCTTATCTGGACTGGACGGGAGATTAGTTGAGTGATTCTGAACTTTCTTCCTAACCATATTCATAATTCCCAACTTTCTTCTTATTAATGTTTCCACTTCCAGATGTAGGTCTTCAGAGAGCAAAAAGCATTTAAGCATTATTGCAATAGTGTTTCTAACACTGAGAATAGCATAAACATTCTTAAGGACCCTTTTGAATATTCCCCATGAGAATTTTTTTTAATTTTACATTTTTCATTTAGTACTATTAAGCATATACACATTTCACATTATTAATCATATAAACATTCCATACCATGAAGATGACATTGTAAAAGCTAAAACTGAGTACTGTTACAAAATTTTAGTATCCATGTTTATATTTGTGATTATGATCACACCAAAAGGTAAGAACACTTTAATTGTAAACAGACTATTGAGAAAAGTGAAGAGACACTTATTTCATAAATGCGTTTATACCATGCAAATGCAAGATGGCATCACTGGATACTTAGTGAAGCAAATTTTGTAATATGATGCATAAAGAAAATTAGTTTGGGCACTGAATATATGCTAATATAGTAGATATGTTAGTCTCAGGAGAACCTGCTACTAAATGGGAATTGTTGTTGTTGTTGTTGTTAAGTACTGTCAAGTCAGTTACAACTCACAGTGACCCTGTATAATAAGGTTTCCAGGCAGTAGCTGGTGGGTTTGAACTGTTGATCTTGCAAATCAGCAGTCCATTACTTATCCTACAGTGTCACACAAGGACTCTTTAAATGGAGATACAGAATATAAAATCATGAAATAATAACAAAAACAAACAATAAATGTATATAAACAGGGCAAATTAATACTCTAGAGCACGAGTACTTATAAAATACCTTTGTAAGAATCACTTGCCTATCTTTCTTTCAACTATGCAACTCTGGGGAATGCATCCAAGATGGCAAACGAAGGTAGGAAATAATCTATTTCATTAATACAATAATCATTTGAATGTTAGTAGTTCCAAGTCGTTAACAATTGGCAAATTTATACAGTTTCCACTGTATAACAGCTATTCACATGAGTCATTCATTACTACCTTTATATTCATACATATGTATGCGCAAACTCACCAGCCACACCTTGGAAACCCCATAGAGGGTCGCTATGGGTAGGAACTGACTCAAAGGCACTTAACAACAATGCCACATTATGGACTTCTGGTGTTGCACTATGGATCAGCACTAGACTGTGATCCACTAGGTTGGCAGTTCAAACCCACCAGTTGCTCCTCAGAAACCCTATACAGGGTTGCTATGAATCAGAACCAACTTGGCAGCACTTAACAACAACATAAATGCTACATTACTGAAGTCCTGGTTTGGCACTGTCCAATACATAAGTACTGGACTGCTAACCACCAGGTCAGTGGTTCAAACCCACCAGTAACTCCTTGGGAACCCTACATAGGGTTATTATGAGTCAGAACTGACTTAATGACACTTAATAACAACACAACATGCTACATTATACTAAAAATATAGTAATTTATGTAAAGATCAGCACAAAAATTACCATCAGCAATGCTTTTCACACCTACCTATATATAGGTTTCACCTTGTTGTTGTTGTTGTTAGGTGCTGAGTCTCATAGTGACCCAATGCAGACTGCCTGGTCCTATGCCATCTTCACAATTGTTATGTTTGACTCCACTGTTGCTGCCACTATGTCACTCCATCTCACTTTTTTGTTGACCCTCCACTCTACCCACCACTCTATCTATCCTTCTCCAGGGACAAATCCCTCCTGACAAGTCCAAACAACAAAACACTAAATCTCACCATCCTGGCTTCTAAGAAGCATTCTGGTTGTACTTTTTCGAGAACAGATTTATTGGTTCTTCTGGTATCCCATGGTACCTTATTAATATTCTCCTCCAACACCATAACTCAAATGCATCAATTCTTCTATGATCTTCCTTATTCATTGTCCAACTTCACATGCATATGAGACTACTGAAAACATCATGGCTTGGTTCAGGTGCACGTTAGTCCTCAAACTGACACCTTTGCTCTTGAACACTTTAAAGAGGTCTTGTGTAGCAGGCTGCCTAATGCAAATAGGACATTTGATTTTTTGACTGCTGATTGTGGAGCCAAGCAAAACGAAGTCTTTGGTAACGTCAATCTTTTCTCCATTTATCATGATGTTACTTGTTGATGCCGTTATGAGGATTTTTGTTTTCTTTAAATTAAGGTGCAATCCACCTTAATTTAAAGAATATACACATATATTCTTTTGGGTTTTACCTACATGGTTTTATAAAACGAAAAAGATCTGGATTGTACTCCTGACACTGATATCCCAGTAAGTTTTAGGTGGGGACTGGACAATTAAATATATTTTTTAAACTGCACAGATGATTCTAATACAATAGGTATGAGAAACAACATTCTATGTGACAATACACATAATAGTCGCTCTTTAAGGAAAAAAGCAAAACCTTACTAGTCACAAATTTTAATTAAAGAGTAAGATTTAAGCAAATTAAACTTTAGTAAGTTGAATTATGTACAGTAGTACTACAGAGACTTTTGGAAAACCTGAGTTAGTGCCTAAAAAGAACATGCTGCTATCTTATCAATTTTTAATGTAGAATGGAAATGCAGAGACATTAGCAATTAAAATTTATGCTTTGGAGAAGTAGCACCTCTCTACCCTTTGCAAGGTAATTTATAATCATTCATCTTGGACTCAGAAATGTGCTTTGTATTCTGATGTTTTAATAATGTGTCTGAATGTCTAAGAATTCACACTATTTGACGTAACACAAGAAATAGAATAAAAGACTGATTCAGTAGCAATAAAAACCTTTTCAGATTTCTTCCCTCCTCTCCTCTGATTCAAAATTCCTTTCTGCTAACTTAAAATAAACTACTATCTTATTTTATTTTTATTTATTTATCTCTGACCCTTTGCTTACAGAATATTTAAGATGGGCACTTACACACAAATACATGAGCAAATGCCAAAGAATAAAGGGACTGGAAAAAAATTAGATCAATACAACCTGCTTGAAAAATATTTAGAGCTTACAACTTAACTCTATCTTCCCTTAAAAACCATCAAGTTAAGTAGTTAAAATGCTGAATGTAAAATTCACAGCAAGTATGAAGGGGCATAGACTAAATAAAATACTGTTGAAAAAGACAATGTTGGAGGAATCACGCTTCTAATTTCAAAACTTACCATAACACAACAAGAATCACAATGTGGTACTAGCTAGGTTGTGTGACTCGGAGGGCAGAACAGAGAGCCCACAAGGTGGAGTTGGAGTCCAAATCAAGGCATAGCCAACACATAGTCTATGGAATTTCAGAATGATTAGATCATTGACTTCTGTACCTTCCAATTCCCCCATTTGTGAAAAGGAGTATGTATATCTTATACTTGTCCTATTTCTTAGCTCAAAGGTCTTCAAATTGAGAGACATGGTATTTACAGAACTACATCCAAGCCACAACTGCACCTGGATCTGATTTACCAAAACCAAACCAAACCTATTGCCATCGAGTTCATTCCAATATAGGGTTTTCCTGTGTAGGGTTTCAGAGGCTGTAAATCTTTATAGCATCAAAAAGCCTCCTTTTCCTCTCAAGGAGTGGCTGGTGGACTTGAACTGCCAACCTTCAGGCTAATATCCCAACATGTAATCCACTATGCCAATCTGCTTTAGATGATGAGATTCTTGGGCTTTGGGATGATGCAATAGGATAAGAATTTAGGGGCCTTGAGAAGGAATTAATGTATTTTGCAGGTAGGAGAGATATAAATTAGTGATGACCAGAGGGCAGACTATAGTAGTTACCCTCCAAGATGAGCCCCACTGAGTCTCACCCTCAGGTATTCATGCCCTCGTACAGTTGCCTCCCACACTCGATAGAGTTAAACATGAGTCATAAGTAGAACACTGAAGAAATGACAGACTATGACATCTGACGCCAGGTTGTAAAAGACATTGTGACTTCTCCCTTACTGTCTCTTGGGTCTCTGATTCTGGGAAGCTGAGCTGGTTGTCATCAGAACATTTGAACAGACTGATGGAGAGGAACACATGAGGTCACAATAAGGTTACCT